TTAATTGTCAGCTGCTGGATTTCCATTTCTAGGGACAAAACTTGTCTCTGCAACTCTTGAATTCTCCGTGCAGCATCAGCCAGTTGACCTGAGATAAAAGAAAATATAAACATTAATAGACATCACTTATCCACCCATTAATTTCCTGTTCAATTATCAAATATCTTTTGTATTACAGCATTTCTCTTATTACTTACTTGTTACTGCCTTGACAGTTCTGAGGTGAAGATATATGTAATTTTTTTTCAAAGGGGAAAACAAAATATGCAATTTTTTCCATAAAGTATAAAGCTGCTCCTCCTCATTCAAATCATTTCATGTATTTACTGACAGTCTCTCAACCATTAGCAAGTCCAAAATGTTCTGAATACAACCACAAGATGGTTAGTGTTATTCACTGCCATATATTTTTCTACAAGACATTTTCTGCAATACTAACCCAGAGAAGGATGGCAGGCAGAGTTGTGATCTTTTGCCACTGCACCTGCAGGTGATGCCTCCTCTGTACAGTTCCCAGGGTCAGGCATCTCCTGGGAGTCATCCTGGCCAGCAGCACGAGACTTTCTTGCTCACAGGTAAACTGACTCACGAGCTTGTGAGCGTCTCCCTAGAGGTGGGAAATCAGACACTTCATGGTCATGACACATTTTTGTTTATTTTTAAAAATGTTCAGCACTGTCCACCCTCCATTTACCCCAATCATTCCAGTGAAATTACATGGCACTGCTCCTTGTCTGATCCAGGTTCTTCCACTGGCTGATGAATTTAGATCTTCTGGAGCAAAGTGCAGACTGCATGGGTGCTCCCACGAAGAATTTTAAAATTGGCCCTTCATCTCTCCTGATCGCTCTCACCCAACGGGAACGTATTTCTTTGTCCACAAGAAAATTGTGGAAACTCAAATACGGTGTTTTTTGTTTATTATTGGAACAACATGGCACACTGCAATAACATCTTGATGACTGTGTCATGCTGGTTAGATGAGCTGCTGAAAAATGAAATCTTCATCTCCATAAAGCTTTTCAGCAGATGG